CGTCTGAACTAACACTATCAAGATCTGCAGTTACTAGCTTCATGGCTTCTCTGACATCGATGCTATCTGTGGGATAAGATAGGGTTCTAGCTGTACTATAATTTTTCTGATTAATCGATGGGGCTTATATTGCACATATTGAGATGAACTAGAATCTGTGCATAAGCTACTCGTTCTAACATTTTAGACATTATTGGCAATATGCTTATTGGTTTAAGGTCAGTGACGGAGGTCGAATTCGACAAGATAGACGAAAACACAACCTACAAAAATTTAAAACGTGACACCATTAAATTACATATGTTTTCTGATTAATCGATGGGGCTTATATTGCACATATTGAGATGAACTAGAATCTGTGCATAAGCTACTCGTTCTAACATTTTAGACATTATTGGCAATATGCTTATTGGTTTAAGGTCAGCGACGGAGGTCAAATTTGACAAGATAGACGAAAACACAACCTAAAAAAATTTAAAACGTGACACTATTCAATTACATATGTATATATTATTTTGACACAAGCTTCTCGTCATTTTTACATTTGATGCGACAGAAATTCACTTCAATATAATATTACAAGTAGAGCCATGTAAGTGGAACTAATATAGCCAAAAGGTGAATTATGCACACCTATAACTGAGGACAAATTTTGGAGTCAAACTTGAAAATAATTTGTTTGGACTTTTGGCCAGGTTTACGTGTTCTCTCACCAATCGAAAACAAACTTCCGAATGCCCTCTTTGAACTTTTTTCCCTTTACATTTCTTTATAAGGCGACGGTCGGCATCATTTCAAAAAAACCTCCTCAACTTGTGGCGGAAGCATTTGATCTATTCACTCTTCCACATGAAAGTCGATTGCTGGAGCCTCTTCAGGGGTCGAACTTGTAATTATTGCGACGTATATCAGTGAGGGTGGTTATTTCTGTACAGAAATCGGCGAGATGCCTTAATTAAAGCGGCGTATTTTCGCGCTTAACGACGTGGGTTATTGCGAGTTCAAAGAAGGCCAGCACGGTCGAGTACAAGTGGTGAGGGTGAAGCTGTATCTCTTTGCGTTTGCGGCAAAACGGAACCGTTTGAGGTACGGATAATTGGATATGCAGTCGCATGGTGGAGATTTGCATGTAAAGATTGAGAAAGAACTGTGACTGTATGATAAAGCAGGGTGGTGTGAGAAAGACGCAAGCTAAGCTCAGAAACATCAATTTTTGATTGGTCCTTACGTTAGGGCGTCCCTTAATTACTTATAATAATAATAATAATAATACCTACGCCACTGGGTACGGAAGCATTGTAACCGCGAAAAATTTCGAAAATGTCTTTTGGATGTTTTATATATGACATGGAAATTAAGAAAAACCATGTCGCACGTTTCCGTCGGTCTGTCTGTCTGTAGGTCTGACTGTCCGGTAATCCTTGACCCCCTCAAATTGTTGATGTTAGTGTATTTACACACTCTCAGCCCTGGCAATTCTACGCACCTATTAGTCATGTTTCACGCATCATAGGTTTCTCGGTACATTTGTCTTTAAAACGATAGAGAAATGTTTTGGGTACGCGTCTCGTTCTGCCATCTGAACTCAGCTTCCATCGTAACGGTCTTCTTGATTGTTTTGCTCGTACTTGTTTTACTTCGGTGGGCGCTGCCGCATCTGACGATATCGGAAGAGGCAACGTTGCCAGATGGACGGTAACTATCGGTAGAATAGGGAAAGAATGGGCTAATTGTATGGGCCTGTTTGACTGACTTGATCCTTAGTTTCTCTGTTATACTTATTGGTAAGTTACTTTTTCCTTGGAGGGTTAAGCTTGTGCTGAATCCTTTACGAACTCAACGGCTTTGCGAAGGAAGTGCAGGGTCAACCTGCTTGACGTCTTTTTTTTTCTTATGTGGAGCTGAAGGATAGATATCTTATATCCTACCTAAAGCTATTTACACGTGGTCAAAAAAGGTTGTGAAAGTTAAAACCTGGGGCAGCTAATGCATGTGAATGTTATTATAATAGGTAGCGAGATGAGGTTGCATATGACTTGCTCACAAAATCTCACTCTGACTCTTCAAATACAAACAGCACCTAACATGTGCATGTAAACACATTATTGCTGTATTTTCCAGTAAAAAAGGAATTACTGGAAATATAGTGTTAGAGACCGTAACAGTCAGCTTTGCTTAGTATATAGTGGTTTATTTGGATTGAAGCTTCAGCTTTTCGTTCGCGTTTAAATTCCCCGTTTTTCCATCCAGATCACGCATCTAGGTACATGGTGGCGCTGCAACTCAAGATTTTTTAAGAAATTTGGATATGAAACTATACCAAATCGCACTTTTGTGGTCTATCAATCTAGGAACAGTAACTTTATTATCATATTCAAAAATTAACTGGAATAAATTTATTTTTAATCCCATTACAACTTTTTAATACAAGCATCTTCAACTACTTCCGTAATGTGATACTAATACGATGCTGTTCAAATTTTAAATGTCTTTCAACTGCGGAATTTTCGATGCTACTCGTATTAAATTATCTCGTTGCTTTAAGTCTAATGGCTTTAATCATTGTCCAAAATTGTGCAAAAATGCGGTGAAGGACTGCAAGCCTGCTTCAAAGTGTATTAAATGCAATGCAATACTCGCCGGAACCTGACGTTAGGATTGATATTACACTGTCAGGGATATTAAAAATGTATCCTCTTCCTTGCAAGTTGATATGTTGAGCATAAAACAGCATCCATTTTTTTCTGATCTCAGTTTTTGCTCCTTGGATTCTACTAGTTCTTTCAAAAAACTATCTTGAGTTCTCTATCGATATGTTATGGAGTGAAAACTAAAAACTCAGATTTTACAACATTGATTGTGTAAGTAATTTTGATTGCTTTGCCCTAACTGAAACCTGTACTCTTTTGTTATCAATTGTGAACCATTTAGTTCTAATTACAACGTGTATGGAAATAATATAAATGACTCTCTGGTCAAGAAAACCCGTGGGGATGGCATATCTTTGGAAATTTCCGATAATTTTTTCGATACAATTATGTATTTAATTGAAGCTTGAGACTTTTAAATATGGTCTTATGCAACCAACTTGTAGGGTAGATACTAGTTATTTCTATTGAATTACTTCTCAAGCTAGAAACACAATTTAACATGATGACGCCTAATTCCTTAATTTCAGAAAAGCCAATATTTCTCTATTGTATGATTAATGTTCTGCACCAACTGGAGCTACATGATAATGAAGAAGCTTGTAATAATTTTTTTGATATGATAAATGTATTTTTCTTTTCATACCGTGTCTCTGACTAACTGACCTTGCATGATTATAAAGCTTTGAGACTGGGGATTAAAAGGGTCACTGAAACTACTTATAAAAACTGTATGTAGAAAACAAACAAAAGATAATGTAAAGCGAGATCCGTCAAAGTGTTTGTGTTTTGTCAACATCAGAGGTCAAGGCTTTATACTCAAAAATATATAGATTTGAGTAGAGTATAAATATTAAATAAGTAAATAAAAGTATTCTGACAGACACAATTTGCAGACTACCTCAAACTTATTTAACGGCAAACACATTCATGTTAGAAACAAAATTGAATTATCTGTATTTTACTTTAAAAGATTAAGTAAAATAAAAATACCTACTTTTTTGGAGATCTACTACGGTTTCAATCAGTTAAATGGCCAAAAATCAAGTTTTTCATGTTTAACCCATATCTTAGATAACTTCGATAATTACTAATCCTGCTTATAAATTTGAACTTATTGTTTTATAACAATGAAGTAGCAAAAACGTTTTGCAATCTTTTATCAATTAGGCATAAGCGAAATTTGTTTTGCTTCAAATAAGGTGAATGCGCCAGTTTTGAGGCCAGACTTTTGTGACGCAGAAATCTGCAACCAGGAAGCTAGTGCATTACCTTGAACTGTCTTCAACACTTCCACCACTTGCAGGTCCCCAGCATTGATAAGAATTTTAATGGATGAGCTAAATTTTATCTCTGTTCTGAGTATTTAGATGGAAAATGGTTATGTCACCACCAGTTAGATAATGAATCACCATCCCAGCAGTGCTTTCATTAACATTAAGCTTGGACTTTTGTAGACTTTAAGTATCTTAGTTTCAATCATACACGTGCACTTGGCAAAATCAAAATTTTACGAGCGGCTGAAACGGAATTACAAAATGGTTAAGTGTTAAAGTGGTGTTTGATTTTTATTGGCAGAAGACAGACTGATTACTGAATTTTTAATATACCTAATTTAAGTACTTTTAAATTTCCTTCCAGCATTGTGCTATATGTTTGTGCACAATGGTACTGGTATAAAGAGAACTAGTTGAAATCTTTTTGTATGTACTTTTTTCAAAGCTACCTACCATTTTATCTACTTTATCATTATTCAGTGTCTCTAATGATGATTTCTTAAGAGACATAAGATAATTGTCATTTATCGAATATTTTTTGTAATGTTTGACCATTCTTCAAAAGTATCTCCTTCTTTGTTATTGCTTTAAAATATACTTCATTATAAATGCATTTACCACTTTTTAAAAGTCGAAATTCGCAGTGTGGATCAATATTGGACCAGATACTGTGCATTGTGGATTTCTACTTTATAGGTATAATAAAAATAACAATATTCTAAGTATTGGATAGTTGCACGATTTACTACATTCGTAATCATTTAATGGATGGCACTTACTAAGCTTTTGCGATGAAATTTACTGACTTTTGCTCTATCGTATCGAATAATATTTGACTCGTTAGAGTAGTTATTTATTTTACAGATTCTCGACTGAACCAATTTTTTCAATATTAATATTTTGTTTTGTGACTACACCAGACATTTTGAGCCTAGGCACAAGCTATCATCCTGAGATGGGCTAGAAATAATGTTGACGTTCAACACTGCAGAATATTTTGAAGTGACCAAGTCCACAAACATTCGTTGGCGGTTGGGGGGAGTTGAGGCCTACGTATAGATAACGGATAATTTACCTGTATATTTAAGCAACCACCCTTATCATGGATCAGCAAACAGCTTGAAAATCTTTGAACCGTCCCTAACTTCACAATCCGCGTTGGAAGCACTCGAGCAAAAAACAATCCACCTTGCCCGTGAAGGTGGTGTCCGATTTCCGCCCGATTTCACTGGCCGATTTGTGGCCACGTGCCCAAACGCGAATACGACCAAGCAACTGTTTATGTGCCCGTCCGCACCGAAGGATTCAGAAGACTGGTCCCAGCTTCACGTCACTCTTTTCTTCAAGGGTGACTTGATCCAAGCGCCCAATGGGCGGAGCTTTAGAGTATGCCACGCCCTCTCGCGGCAAGCTCGGTGGTGGGGGCAGAGCGATAATCTGGAAGCAGGATGATCTCTTTCGGTTGTAAGGCTGATAATCGTTTCGCATTAGGGACTGAAAGCCGGCCGAGAAGCTCCGCCAGCAGAGCACTTTCACTTGCCACGCTTGCTGCTAGGACTTTGGTGCTTTTTTCCCGGGGGTAGTTTCTGTAATGAAATTAACGAGGATTTCAATGTTTCATTGCAAGTTCGAGTTACTTGTTCATTCCTTCTTACCTTAACTAGCCGAAAAATCATACAGAAAGTTGCGACAGCGTTTGTGCTATTCGTCCTCGATGTGGAACCATACGTTTTACTTTCTCCCTAGCGTTGACTACATACTTAGATATAGGAGTGCTTAGATACATACGAGTATCTATTATAGACCAATTTCCTGAATACAACAAAGGTTGGACCTCATTTCTGCCTGTGAGTTTGGATATACTATGTTGTCGACAGTAACAGTAAGTAAACTTGCCGTAGACACTTCAATATGCCACCTTGAGTCCTTTGTGGGGGCAGAGCGACAATCTGGGAGCAGGAGCGCAGGATGATCTCCTTCTGTTGTAAGGCTGACTTTGTTTTCACTATAAATTTCAATGCTTTGAATTACCGTTAGATACTTACACCCTGAGAGGGTAATTCTATATCTCAGCTAGCTTAAGGGCTATACCTACCGAAAGTCGACGTCATGTTTCTATTACCTTTCCGAGGTTCATCCTAGATACTATTTGATCACCTGAATGCTGAATGTGAATCTACACCTCTTGCTTCTTTCCTGGCTACTACTCTTTATTGGTCTCTCAAATTCCATATAGTTCAGTTTTCCATTACAAAGCCATCATGAAGGTTGTACGGAGAACGGAAGACTGGTACGAGAGGTCAAACTTTACATTTTGGAGTGCTGCCATCACGTTTGCAGATCTAACTACCATCTGTCCATCTCTCCACAATGTCTATTCTAGGTACCCTTCACAGAAGGGCAAACAAACTTACCACATGCACTTCCACAGTGTGTAACCTTGAGCCCAGAATGATCTGTTTCGGTATTAACGCTGATAAAATTGGTCTCATTCGGGACTGAAAGGCGTCCCAGGAGCTCCTGCAATGCGCTTTCACATAGTGAAGGGGAACTGTACTTTTTCGGGAATCTAGGTTGTAAAGTTTACATGAATTGCGAGACTTGGGGCAAAATTGAATCGTACTTTTCCAATACAAACGCATCATAGGACTAGCAGCGCAAGAAAGTCTCCAGCCCTTTCCAGCCCCCTAGCAAGAGGCGTTTCGCTCTATGGTCACTAAGTTTGCACAATTGTACCTAACATAAAATGAGCAAAGAATATGTCAGGGGCCGTTAGTGCACAACACCCGTTTCCTTAAGTGCATCTCAATACTCCAGGCGGAAATGTGTACAATCCTGCTTTTTGCGTATGGCGGGAGCCGGGGTTTAGAGCACAGAACGGTTTAGAACCGTCCTGCTGATAGGATTTATCTATCTCGCCAGAAAAACAGTTCAAGAGTTGCATTCAGACTGTTACCCTTTTATTCATTTCCACTTCCTCAAACCATGTAGCGTCTGGTCAAGTATAGCTTTCGTGCAGAAAAATGTTAGGTACCGGAAACAACCGTAGTATTCAGACGTCACTCAGAATCACGGAAAATTATAAAGGATCTTTCAGCCTACCTCCACCATGGATAAGGCGTATCCTAGGTGCTAATTTTAAGTCGCTGCGAAATTTTTTAGTGCTGTAGGCAAGACTGTGACTAGATGTTTTAGATCCTAAGATCCTGAAGGAAACGGAAAATACAAGACAAGCTTTTGGGAGATGATATGAACAGAAGGCATACAGACGGACTCATGCACCAGGCACCAACGCTATCAGGTTGCCAGATTGTATATTCGACCAAAACTTCGCCGCTTCAAAGTGATCCCATCGCCACTCATGGTCCCAGTTATAACGGCGTAAATTAAGCCAGAATTTTAAATGGGCGCTTCACCTGGCACGCTGTTCATAGATATTTTGCTATCTGGCGCTGGTTACCGGTGGGAGCATCTTCTGACCACAACATAGGTTTTTAGGCGTTACCCTATGAGAAATAAGTATCTTACATGAGCACTGGCAGGGGAGGTCAGGAGGGACGCTGCCACCCCCCCCCCCCTAGGAATCCGGTTGGAAATTTGCATATGAACGAAATCAGCTAAAATCGGACAGTTTTAAGACATGGATAAAGGTGAAGGAACAAGCTATCTTTGGGGAAAAAATACTCGTGACTTGGTTTTTTCAAGATTCTACAAATAGTTACTATTACAATTATTTAGGTAACTGGTCTAACAGGCGCATCTGAAGATGCAGATGTGTCGCAAGATGCAGCTGTATCATACACAAGGCTCAAACTTGTCCTAGCGCCCTCGTCTCCTTCCTCACCTCCAAGAAGAATACATCCTGGCAAAGCAAGCCGGAATTTAAAATGGGCGTTCCACCTGGCGCGTTGCGTTAGTTCGCCTGACTGGTCGCGCTAATCTGCGGATTCGATTGGCGCGAAGATGGACGCCATTGTTTCCGCTGCTAGCGCGTCGGCGCATGCGAAGCGTCGCTTGCGGACGCCGCCGTCGCGACGGCATTCTACATGCGATGCTCCGGCGATGTACATGGGAAGTTGCTGTGGAAAGTTGTGGTTATTTGCTGAGTGTTGGGTGAATGAGTGAGTGAGTGATAGACGAATTGCGCCTAGAGAAAGTGTCTGAATGGTTCTATTGTTTTTTAAAGCATTACTGAACAATATTCCTGGCAGGGACGTAGAGAGGAATTCGAGGTGCGGGGGGAATTTTAAATGTGGGCCCCCTGCACCCATTAAAAAAGCTTTATTCATCAGTGTTGTATCCATATTGTTCTCTGTCAACTTTCATGTCAATGAAAGATCTCTTGTGTCAAATCATTAGATACAGATTTATAGTTCAGTAAGGGCGCCCTCTTAAGCTATGTACGGGTCCCCCTGGGTACACAGGAAGCTCGATGCCTGTGGCTGACGGGGCCCAGGCCAGAGTGAATTCGGGGCCCTGCTTTATTGTTGGGGAAAATTCAAGAAGGGGGATTACCGCAATTCGAGTGATTTCTCAGATTCTTCAAAATTTTTATACCCACCAAATTTTTAGTCTAAATTTTTTTGTATCATAAAAAAATCGATTGCAGTTTCACTGAAAATTTAATGAGACTCCATTTGTGATCCGATTTGCGTTTCGTTGACTAACTTCTGAGTTACATTTAACCCTTAGAATTTCGGAACATACAATTCTTCTTGTTTATGCAAGGAGGTCTGAAATGTTCTAGTATGAATAGTGGGCACTCGAGCCTACTTGCTTGTGATCAGTTGATGTAAATGAGAAAAGAATAAAAATTCTGGTTTACATTCTTAGTGAGTATTGCGCTCCCCGAAAGGTTAAGTGATTTTGGACATCAAACAGACTTGTATTTTGAGTCTCATACAATGCCACCAAATTCTACCAAAGTATCTTGTGAGTTATTCACACAAACAAGTCTGCTTTATAAATCGGATGGAAAAAATGATGATCGTTGAGTGCAAATGTATGACAGTTGACTGCTTCGGCAACCCTCTAACCGCAAAATGTATCATCGCTTGTTCGTTTAATATAGGGTGGACCAGAAAGACGTACGAATTTCAGAACCGCATCGTTCCTGTCAGGCACGCGGGAGAGGGATTCGGGTAGTGAAGATAAGAACTGGGTGCGCCATCTATTACTTTTTTTAAATATAAGTTTATGTGTTATCATGTGAGTCTAAAGTCATGTGGTATGCATAAATGAACTGTCAAAGGTATGCCATTTATAGTCATGGATTCGTTCACAACACAACAACACATTTTGGTTATCCAAACTTATTACGAAAACGGTCGGAATATAAAAAATACTTGTCGAAACTTCGCACTAGTTTTGGCCGACATGGACGCCCTAAAGAGCCTGAAATTCGTTGGATTGTTAATCGTTTTGAGGAAACTGGTTCAACTGAAGGTGGTAGACCATACCAACATGCTCGTCCAGCTCGTACTCGTAAAAACATAGCCGCATAGAGTGAAAGTGTGCGAGAAGATCCAACCACCTTCTCTAGGCATCGTTCGCAACAATTGGGAATTAGTGAGACCACTTTACGCCGGATTTTACATATTGATTTACACCTCCATCCATACAAAATCCAACTAACACAAGAATTGAAGCCGGTAGACCATCAACAGCGGCGTGTTTTTGTTAATTGGATGCTGGAAGGAGAAGACGGATTTTCGGCCAAAGTGCTCTTTTTTGATGAGGCTCATTATCACCTCAATGGGTACGTATATTAGCAAAATTGCAGATTCTGGGGGGCACAAAATACACACCAATATGATGAACAACGTCTCCATTCTGAAAAAGTGACTGTTTGGTGCGGATTAAGGGCTGGTGGCATCGTTGGACCATTCTTCTTTGAAGAAAAGGCCATTACCGTCAACGGGGAACGTTATCGCGGCATGTTAACAGACTTTTTGTGGCCACAATTGGATCGTATTGGTGCCGTCGATCAAGACGGAGCAACGGCTCACACATCTCTCCAAACAGGCTCCTGATTGCACACGAAATTTCAAGACCGCATAATTTCACGAAACTCAGATGTCAGTTGGCCCCCGAGATCGTGCGATTTAACACCTCTTGACTATTTTCTTTGGGGATTTTTGGAAGGAAAACTGTATGCGAATGGTCCCCTAAAGCGCAATTTTCGGACTAAAATTGCGGCCATAGACCCAATTATTCAGGGAAAAGTCATTGAAAATTTTGATGTTCGGATGTTGGCCTGTAAACGAAGCCGCGGTGGTCACATGACTGATGTTATTTTTCATACATA